GGGGAGGAGAATAGTTCTGCCAAAAGTTGTTTTCCTTTCTTGTTTCCCACCTGGTGTCCGGTACCCGCTTTGTGGCCCAACTAATCCGGAGAACTCTTGTTAAGGATTGAGGAGTATGTATCGCCCCACCGCAACCTTTGGTGTCAATAGTTGTTTTTTTAAGTTCAAGAGCCCGAGGATATTGTCATGTACTGTCTGACTCTCTGCGTGATGGAAAAGTTTGTTTGAGTAAATTTCTTGGTACTAGCAATATTTTCAGCACCTAGCTACCATTGTGAATTTGAGTACTCAATTATAAAAAACCAATTTGTCCTGTGTATTATTTGTGTGAAATGCAGGAGATGTGACTTGTAAGGCAACAATTCCTATTGACATGGAATCCGAAGCTCATTTTCTAGCAAAGGAAGACGGGATTGTAGCAGGAATTGCACTTGCTGAGATGATATTCGCAGAGGTTGATCCTTCACTAAAGGTATTGATTTTTTCAATTAGGTTGTTCTGGTAACCGGTATTTCTACTTTGAAGAAATGTCTGAAAAAAGGTTTTTTAATTTCTTCATGTTCTCATTATCAGATGGAGTGGTCTATAAATGATGGTGATAAAGTTCATAAAGGCTTGAAATTCGGCAAAGTACAAGGTAAACTATATGTGAGAAATGATGAATTACTAATGATTTTTTGAATTAATAATAATCTTGCCTTGACGTCTGCAGGAAAGGCTCACAGCATTGTTATAGCTGAGAGAGTTGTTCTCAATTTCATGCAAAGAATGAGCGGAATAGCTACACTAACTAAGGTGTGTTTGTCCTCATGTAAGTAGCACATCATTAATAAAGATCTGGAAAGATAGCAATGAATGCAAATGGTTATGTCATTGATGAGTTGGTTTCAGTATTCCAAAGTTAAGTCAAGCGTACCAGATCTGAGACTGTCAATTGTTCTATGCCCGAAATTACTGGATTTTGTTGCAGAACATATGCATTGATCTAAATTTACACATTCCTGTATGATATATAAAATCAATGAAATATCCTTCAACGGTTCAAGTACAATGGTCAAGAGTTCAAGTCTTAGAAACAGATTCCGCGTATTCTTTATAAGGCTGTGTACGTCCACTCTTCTGATACATTAGATGGTGTGAGAGCCGCACACTGAAAACAATTCTGCAATCAGTCTATGACAAAGATTCCTCAGTTTATTCCATCACAAACAAAAGGTGCAAATGCACATGCAAAGACTTAACTATACACATGCCATTTTCTAAAACTCAGTAGACGAGAATAAATTAACTAATGAATGTTAACATAAATTATGAAGTACCAACAAAATTTGTAACTAATAAGAACGGTACAAATATTCACCCGGAATGAAATAATGTGTGAAATCTAAACAGATATTGCTGTTAGAATTTGCAAACGGAGCTGTGAGTTTTGACACTTTTGGTACAACTACTTGCGTTTACCTTTCAATGGAACCCCTTTGGTTCTCTAAATCAGGTAATAAATATCAAATATCTGTCCACAAAAATTAATTCCATGTGTTCCTTTTTCAGGATATGGACACTGCTGCAGGTGTCATGTTTTAAAAGAATTTGAAAGATTTCATTGAACCAGAACCAAACATCTTCATCTCTTTAATGAATAGACAAACTAGACATTTTGTACCTGATAATGCTATCTCAAGATGTCATGGAGTTCATTGTCTTGCCTCTGTAGTAATGATTAGAATTTAGAAGAGAGTGAGTTCTTTAATATTTGCAGGCGATGGCAGATGCTGCACACCCTGCTACCATCTTGGAGACTAGGAAAACTGCTCCAGGATTACGTTTGGTGGATAAATGGGCGGTAAATATTTACTCGCCAAAATCATCCATTGTGAGAGGCTATCACATGTATATATAGTTCATCTTGGCTGACTTTCTACCTGGCTTTAAGTGAAGGTATTGATCGGTGGGGGGAAGAATCACAGAATGGGCTTATTTGATATGGTAATGATAAAAGATAATCACATATCTGCTGCTGGAGGTGTCAGCAAAGCTCTAAATTCCGTGGATCAGTATTTGGAACAAAATAAACTCCAGATGGGGGTTGAGGTTGGCCCCATTTACCTTTGGATTAAATTGTGTGGTTATAGTTATGTTTATTTCAACCTGACAGTTCAATTACCTATTCTGCTGGAATAGATTAATCATTTAATCTTAGCTTCTGCCATCAGTTGTGCAATACTCTTTTGTCAGTTTTGTATTTGGTCAGATAAATATCTTTCTAGAGCTATTTTCAATCAAAAACTATTTATAGTGTTGATGATATAAACTTTATAATTGATGCTATTTCTGATATCCTTTCATTGAAGAATTGAATTCTTATCTGTTGAAATCAAATGTTAGTCCAAGTTCAGAGATGTTTGCACTACACCTCGAGACTTTTATTTTACATTTTTGTATCTAGATACACTTGTAGGGGTTGAGAGCAACAACAACAAACCCAGTATAATCCCACAAGTGGGGTCTGGTGAGGGTGGTGTATACGCAGACCTTGAAGCTAGAGAGGCTGTTTTCGAAAGACCCCCAGCGTAGAGGTTGAGAGTAGTATCCCAGAATATATCATGATTTTTGATAACTGAAACAAGAGTGGAAAATTGTGTTATTTGACCATGTTAAAGCAGTTAGCGAACAAAATAGTTTGTCAGGTTACATTTTGGACTAGTTTTCAAGGTCATCTTTTTTGGATTTCGGCACACAACAATGTTCATGGTTCCACTCCCTTGGGTATTCTTTCTTGATAATGTTTTGCTTTTGTTACAAAAGTAAAGGGAAAAGTAAAAATAACATTATATATTGCTGAAAGAGCTGGGAAAATTTCTTCTTCCAGGAATTTTTCAATGTTATCATCCACCCTAATATAACCTAAGAGCCAAAAGGTTTGGGGGATATTGTATTTTAGGTCTGTCTTTGCATACTACTTATTGGTGTTGTCTTTCATTAAGTTGGTAATTTGCACCTACTTTTGGATAGTTAAGAATACTAATAATGTAGATACTTTTTTTATAAGGTAAGATCTTATAAATGTGTCAGCATCAAGAATATGCTGGTAGGAACCCAAATTGTCTGATTTAAGATACCCGAACTTACGTTATTGTATTTAGCAGTTTTGAGCATATGGTCCTTTCTGAATCTGCTCAATTTCTGGTAATTATTGGCAGAGTTTTAAACCTTTTCTCCTATCCAACAGGTTGAAACCAGGACAATTGCAGAAGTACGAGAGGTTCTGGACTATGCATCTCAAACAAAGACTTCGTTGACTAGGATAATGCTGGACAATATGGTTGTTCCATTATCTAATGGAGATATTGATGTATCCATGCTTAAGGAGGCTGTAGATTTGATCAATGGGAGGTTTGAGACAGAGGTACTTCTGGTTTCATTTTAAAATTTTACTGCTCCACAAACTGTCAGTATATACGCAGCTTAGAAATAGCATTTAAGATTTGATTTTATGATAAAAACTCCTAACTCATAAAAAATGGTACTGCTTGGTTTCCCGTTTATTATTTTTGTCAGTGGATATCTTGTGATGACATGCTTTGTTTGCTGTAATGGTGGCAGGCTTCAGGAAATGTTACCCTTGAAACAGTGCACAAGATTGGACAAACTGGTGTTACCTACATTTCTAGGTATGTATTTCGCTCTTGCTATTTTTTCAGAAGATCTTCATTAAAAAAATTGGAAGATAATAAAAATAGAAGAGACTTCTTGGTTTGTGTTATTTGTGTTGCTGCGACGTCTTTCTTTTCCTCTTTTTTTTTTATACTAATAAGATGGTTAGTTTACTCGCACACATCAGACAAAAGCTCCCATTAGATAGTCTATGTTATGTATAATTTTCTTGATAAAATTGATAAACAGGAGAACTTGCATGGATTGCTAAAGTACAACAACAACAACAACAACAAAATACCCAGTGTAATCCCACAAGTGGAGTCTAGGGAGGATAGTGTGTACGCATACCTTACCCCCACCTTGAAGGTAGAGAGGCTGTTTCCGATAGACTCTCGGCTCATGAAAGACGAGAAGAAAAGCAATAGCACCAAGCAATAACCAACAAGATAGTAAGAGAACGAAACGAAAGGAACAATAAGTAATACTAAAAAAATCTAACAAAAATAGAATACGGGACTAACACTAATACTCTCAACTACCTACTAGTCGTATACCTTGAGTCTCGACCTCCACACCTTCCTATCAAGGATCATGTCCTTGGTAAGCTGAACTAATGTCATATCCTGCCTAATCACCTCTCCCCAATACTTCTTCGGCCTACCTCTACCTCTTCTCAACCCCTCCAGCTCCAACCTCTCACACCTCCTTACCTGGATTGCTAAAGTACTTAAAATTATTAGGTTGTTGACCTCTTCGGTTATTTATTGGTTAACAAAGGCTTCACGTTTAAGCACATGATTTAGTGTGGGGTACAATTTCCTCGGCTAGGAGTGGACTCAATACTTGAGAAAGTTCAATATATGTTTGTTTCATCCAGGAATGATGCCCTTTATCAGATATTAGCCTGTTATTTTGATAAAAAACGAATCTATCTTTTGTTTAGTCCATATGTATTAGGCACATAAAGGTTTGTTATGATACTCATACTATGAAAAATTTAATGTTTGCAGTGGTGCCCTAACGCATTCTGTGAAAGCACTTGACATATCCCTGAAGATCGATACAGAGCTCGCCCTTGAAGTTGGACGACGTACAAAACGAGCATGACCGCCATTACTTTTGTTGTAGGGTTGGAGTAAAAGCAGCTGAATGGCACAAAGTGCAAATAAGAATCATTTTACTAGTTGTCAAACAAATAAGATGTAAGTTGCTGGAATATTTCGATGGCTTTTTTCCAACCTAATTGCTTGAGTTGGTATTTCATTATATCTTTGCTTTCATGTTTCATGGAATTTGACACAATGTAAAAAGTTGATTTAAAAGTTTGGTGTATGTGAAGTTTTGTGTTACTTCACATCTTTTATGGCTCTCTTCCAACCTAAATTCAGTCAAACCTCTCTCTAACAGCCTCTTTTGTTCCGATATTTTTTGGTTGCTATCGTGAAGTGCTGTTATAAAAGACATATATTATAATATAGCATAAAAATCCGTTTCGAAAAAAATTTGACTTTTATAGTGAATTGTTGTTATATAAGGATGTATGGAGATATCTGACTGTAGCTCTGTATATTTTGGTGCACTATTTGTTTGCAAAGGAAACAGCTAAGGTGCCATCCTTTCTTGACTGTGCTCCTATGCATATTACATTGATTAATATTAGAAAGAAAGAGTAGTGAATTGTATAAACATCTCTGCTATCAACTACGAGGCAAGTATAAAGATATGTTTTGAATAAATTAAAGAAAAAGGAAATATTTCCTTAGAAAATGGGAAAGTATAATTCATTGTCCTTGCAAAACAAGTCGTGTCAGCTATATGAATACTCATTAGCCATGTCTATTGGTCGGCTTTATAAAATCAGGTCAGCCCATGTCTCCATAATATTGGTACTACGAGAAATGATTAGTTTTATATTGACTACTTGCAATCCTAACACCTTTATTCGAGCTTGAGACGGACAACGTGAAAAAGTTAACACAAACGGAGTTGACGGAGGAAATACTCTAANGGGAAGTGGGTGTGGATGTGAGGCTTGAATCACAGGTTATCCCAAGTAGAGGCAGCTTCAAGTATCTTGGTTCGGTTATCCACGGGGGAGGGGAGATCGATGAGGATGTCGCACACCGTATTGAGGTAGGATGGATGAAGTGGAGGTTAGCATCCGGAGTTTTGTGTGACAAGAGAGTGCCGACGATACTCAAAGGTAAGTTCTATAAAGCGGTGGTTAGACCGGCGATGATGTATTGGCCTGTTAAGAACTCACATATCCAAAAGATGAAAGTAGCAGAAATGAGAATGTTGAGGTGGATGTGCGGGCACACTAGGATGGACAAGATTAGAAATGATGATATTCGGGAGAAGGTGCACGTGGTTCCTATTGATGACAAGATGCGGGAAGCGAGACTCAGATGGTTCGGACATGTACAGAGGAGAAGCCCAGATGCTTCGGTAAGGAGGTGTGAGCGACTGGTTGTGGAGGGCGCGAGAAGAGGTAGAGAGCGGCCTAAGAAGTATTGGGGAGAAGTGATCAGGCAGGATATGGCAAGGCTTCAGATTTCCGAGGACATGACACTTGATAGGAAGTTATGGAGGTCGAGTATTACGGTTTTAGGCTAGGAGGTAGCTGAGTCTTGCGTTACCTTGTACTGTTGTGAGCCTAGTCTGGTAGGATTTTTGTCTGAAATAGCTAGGGGTGTTGTCGTGTCTTACTATTTTCTCTTTTCGGTGCAGGACCTATTTACTAGCCATCATTTTTGTTTTGCATTTTCCTTCTGCATTTTATGTTCTTATTTTTCCTATGATCTCTGTGGTGAAACTAATATTCTCTCCTTTTTTGTCTTTCTAATTATCTTGAGCCGAGGTTCTTTCGGAAACAACCTCTCTACTCCTTTGGGGTAGTGGTAAGGTCTGCGTATATATATATATATATATATATAATATTTAAACTCACACGATTTCTTTCTGCCGGTGACTGGGGGATTCTGCAATCGTCCTTGGCGATTGGTATACTACATAGTTTTGTTGGTTGTCTTTTTTTGGCTCAGGGAAGTGCATGTGCCAATCACGTGAATTGAGTAATCCCGTTGACCCATATATTTGGGATCTTGTATTTATATTTATTACAAATGCAATCAAACATTATAGCCTTGTTTATTCAATTTAGCACATTAATTACTAGACCCTCCGGTCCACTTTAATTAATTTTTTAGTTGTTTTTATATATATTAAGAAATTCATATTTTAGCATAAATTAACAATAAAAATTGATTATATTAATCTTTATTGTTTATTAAAAATATAAAAAATACTCCTAAGTTCTTTACTCCGAGGGCAACTTTGGAAAAATATGAAGTAAATTCCTTCTTGATATCTAAAAAGACCACAAAAAAAAGGGTTAAAAATCAATTAAGGTGCTATTGCCAACAATAATATAACAATAAGAAATACTCCATCCGGTTCACAATAAGTGACCAATTTACCTTGGGTACACTCATTAAGGAAATACTAAATTCAAGACAAAAATAGTTAGTGTGACTAAACTACCCTTAATTATATATTGCAGCACAATTTAATATGAGGAGTAAAAAGACTTTTTAGGGATACGAACATAAGGGTAATTTTGGAAAAACAACTTGAATTTTTTCTTGATTATATAAAAGGACACTTATTTTGGACCAAAATAAAAGGGGGATTTGCATCTATACCCGTTTTTTGTGTCACGTTTTAACTTGTGCCCGCTTTGCAAAAGTATTTGCAAGTGTACCCGCTTTTTCGCATAACTTTAGCATACAGGGCTGAAGTAGCAAAGGCAATCACGCAAAACTTCAGCATTTTAGTAGTCGGGCCTGAAGTTCAGCTCTAGAGCTGAAGTTTTTGTTTTGTAACTGGCGAACTTCAGCTCTAGAGCTGAAGTTTTTATTTTATAACTGGCGAACTTCAGCTCTAGAGCTGAAGTTTTTGTTTTGTAACCGGGAAAACAAAACTCTCTTTTGTTTTTGTTTTCTGTTGCTGAAGTACGCCTTTTCTGTTATAGTACTTATGATTCTGCTACTATTTTGATAGGAAAAATGCAAGAATTTGCCTGAAAAGGAGGGAAGGACGGAGTTTTGTTTCGTGTAACCAGACTTAACAGTACTCCAGTGAAATCCAATATTACTATCGCAAGCTATAATTATGACCAAAGAGAAACAGAACAAGAAGAAGATAGTAATATTCTTGAGATGACTCATGTGAACTACGTACAAAGGCCTAATCAGTTCACAAAAGTAATTAACTTCGTTTTCACAAGAGAATGCCCAGAGAAACAACAAGGAGACAGACGTTAAAAAGAGTTGAAGTCATTTGGGGTAGTAAACATACAATGAGCTAAATCAAGTTTTCCAGTTACAAAATAAAAACTTTCCCGGCTCTCAAATGACACTTTTTCACATAACTTCAGCTATAGTTATGGCTCCACTTTCTATATAACTTCATTTGTAGTTTTCTTGGTTATATATATAGTACGGTATTCACGGAATCAATGACAGTTTGCCAAATAATTGAAGTACGAAAACGAATAACAAAGTAACTTAAGATTTTATCGTTGCCTCAAATGGTCCACGTCAAATTGCAAAGAAAAGGTGCTTATCGTTGATTAAGAAAATAGAAGTTGTAATTTTATGTAATAACTTGTGCAAAAGAAAAAAACATACACTATTTTTTCTGCTAAAAAACGAAAAGCATGTCTGAATAAATATGCAAGAGTTTTCTCTCTAGTGCATTGACTAGAAAATAAGATCAAACATGACTAGTAAACTAGATAGAAAATAACATCCGAAGAAAGAAGAAGAAGAAAGAAGAAAATGAAGGAGGAGGAGGAGAAAGGGGGCTGAAATTATTTAAAAAGTGGGTACAAGTTAAAAATTATAAAAAAATGGGTATAGGTTAAATGGAGGCGACCAAATAAAACGCCCCGTGCAATTTTTACAAAATAAAAAAATAAATTGGTCACTTATTGTGGACCGGTGAGAGTATACTATAAGAAATCGGTACCCGTGTGATACTAAACATAATAGTAATAATGTGAGCCTCGAGTCATTCAACATAACGTGCTTAAAACCCTCTTTAATTATTAAACTTAAAAAAGGACAAATTAGCAATGGCAATTAATTTAAAGTGTACCTAAGGGCTTATAAATATGATCCTTCATGTTATAAGAAATCACCACACAGTATTCTTCTGCTAGTTTGTCATTAATAAGAAATATTTCAAATTATTTGCAAATATGGCTGTCAAACTGTTTAACCAGAAAATAGAATTTTAGTTAAAGCTAGAATTTAGAAGAACACGGGTTACTAATAATCGAAAGAATGTAAAAATTGGCTTTTAACAATAAAAAAATGAGCAGAAGAAAGCAAAGTAAATTAGTATATTCCAATAGTCTTCTCTGTGTCGTACAATTATTGATTCTTTCCCCTTTTATAGTTTTTTTGAGACTAAGCCTTGCCTTAAGCTATAATGAATGTCATTTAATAATATGTTACACAATCAGATATTAAACAAATATTCTCTAACGTTTTTAGTATTTAATACACATTAAATACTGTATCCGGTCTCTCATAGACCACCAGGTTCATTCCTTTAATTCCCTTTGATCTTTGTGCTTTAAATGTCTTGAATAGGTGCGGGCTCTGCATCTTCTAAGTAATTGTTTGTGCCTCTTCCACAACCTTTGCTCGTATCTGTTATTGCTCGTGTCTCTTAGCTAACTTTGTTCCTTTGACTATTTGACTGATCCACGTGTCACGACACATCATCTCTAATATGTAAATTCGATTTTTCCCAATACAGATAGTCCCCCCACTTTCCATTTATTTATCAATTAAATATTTGGGAAGCGGATTGCATTAAAAAGGGAATTTTTGCTACCATTAATGCTATGACATTATTGACGCTTCAATTATCTTTTCTATTAAATGCTTTGTACACGTGTCATTTTCCTATCTATTTTGCAATTTTGCAGCCTTTTTTCAAGGCTTTTATGGCTCCACTATTCACGAAGAGCTAGTTGTCTTTATTATAGGCTTTCCATCATTGCGCTTCTTGCCTTTGACGATCGCTTTCTCACATAAATATAACCTTTTTCTCTTGCCCTCTTCTTCATAAAGTTTTATTGAATACTTTACTCTTCAATGCTGTTCACTTCTTCCTCAATTCGACCTTCTTCATCATGTCTTCTTTAAACCCTAACCCTAGAAGATTTCCTATCTTGGATAACCTCCCCAATGCCTCTGTTAGACATAGAAGGGGTAGGGGTGGCAGACTCCGTAGTTTAGGATCTGCCTGTGGCGTCAGTTCTCCTATACCTTCCTCTAGTTCTGGTACTC